CCGTTGATTCGCTATTCACAACAGCATACAGAAGCTAGCATGCAGTAATTTCCGCAATACATCCGACTCTCAAGCATGAAATGCACTCACCTAGAACCGGATAGCCCACAGTACACGTATACGACGCCCAATTCTTGTCCCGTAAGTTGAACTGGAACTTTTCCTTCGTCAGCGATCGTTTGTTCCCTGAAAGGGACAATTCATCGCATTTGCCCCAGTTCAATTTTGATCATCACAACTCGCTGGATCGGTAGCAGTTTGACAAGATTCCAGGGGAGTCAGCCATTCATGTATTGTTCCTTCGTATATAAATAATGCCGAGAGACAACCTTCTCTAATGTCCACGCAACAAGACACCCAGTCAAGTGAACGTCTGGAACGTCTGGAATGTTACGATCAATACCGGACAGAGGTTTCTTACTAGCCTCCGGTTTGCGGTAACAGTATGAACGAACTGTTACCTACAGGCTACGCAGGACTGGACACTCAGTCGCGGATTCCGAGAGCCGAGCGTATTCAACTCACGCTCCCGAGTTCCCTTTCACGCACCCGAGTTCCCGTTTGTCCAATTCTCATTCGTCGCAACCGGAGCCTCGCAACACGACGCATGCAGGAGCGTGTCCCCCCCAGGCGCGGTCCTCCCGGCCGGACACTCACAGAGTATGAGCTCGTGGTCGACAGTGACGGCCTGCAGACACTCGCCGTCCGTGCTCCAGTCCAGCTGGGTCAGCGGCTGGGTGCCCTGCATGGGGCCGAACTTGACGTACACGGTGCCGTCCCGGCCCACCTTGTACGGGTAAACGCTGCCCGTCTGGGCGCCCACCGCCAGCATGTCACCGCCTGAGGGTATGCGGGTCGGGGTCAGCGGCAGGCTGCAGCTGCGGGGCCAACCTCGGCTGTAACACTAGGTCTAACACGGGCCTGTGGACGGTGTCCGAGCTGAAGCGATTCTCAGCGAGATTCTGCCCGATTGTGACGTGGCATCTGGCCGAGGCTGTAGCTCAGTGCATGCACGGGTGTCCCAGCGCATCGACGCCACACCGCGGCCGGAGCCGAGCGCCCCACCTGGGCTGTAGCTGAGGCTGCTGAGCGGCTGGCCGCACACGCGGAATGAGCCGATCTGGGAGCCGTCCGACAGCTTGAAGACGGAGAGGTAGCCGTCGATGGAGCCGACGGCCACCACCGTGTCCAGCGGGTGGATGGCGCACGAGACCGCCTCGCTGCCAATCTGCCGTGCAGCCAGCAGCCCAGGTCAGCGACGAACGGAACAGACGAACAGTCAAGAGCGGGCGAACGGTCAGCGGCAGTGGAGGCCAGTGGAGGGGTCACCGTTATTGTGCAAATGAGGCTAGCAAACAAACTTCACTGAAGGCAAGCTTCCTCCTTAACTTTCAAGAGCACAACAGCTCTGCTCCGATTAGAACAAGGCGCAGCCAGTGACAAGCTCCGCGATCAGAGGGGTGACCGTCCCATCAGGTGGCCACTTGGGGACGTTACGCTTAATCTGACGGGACGCCCGGGTCACCTGCCAGCCGACCTCCGGCTGGACGGCACGACACGGTAGTCAGGACGGACCGTCACAGTCACGGCAGTCATGACAGACGGTTACAGTCACGACTGTCATGACAGACAGTCACAGTCACGACTGTCAGGACGGACCCTCACAGTCACGACAGTCAGGACAGACCCTCACAGTCACGACAGTCATGACAGACAGCCACAGCCATGACAGTCAGGACAGATCGTCACAGCCACGACAGTCATGATAGACAGTCACAGTCACGGCAGTCAGGACAGACCGTCACAGTCCCGACAATCAGGACTGACCATCACAGTCACGACAGGAATGGCAGTCAAGACAGACCACCACAGACGTGACAGTCCGGACGGACCGCCACAGTCACGACGGAAATTCACATTCACGACAGCCAGGACAGACCGTCACAGTTATGACAGTAATGACAGGCAGTCACAGTCATGACAGTCAGGACGGACCCTCACAGTCACGACAGTCATGACAGACAGTCACAGTCACGACAGTGATGGCAGTCAGGACAGACCATCACAGACGTGACAGTCCGGACAGACCGTCACAGTCACGACGGAAATTCACATTCACGACAGTCAGGACGGACCCTCACAGTCACGACAAGCATGACAGTCAGGCCGTACCGGGGACTTCCAGATGACCTTGTGGTGGTCGTTCCACTTCACCACCAGCTTGTCATAGCCGGCGGTGATGAAGCAGTCGTCATCGTTGCAGCCCGCCAGCGCCCACAGGTGCTTGCTGTGTCCGAACACCACCTGCGGGTGAAGGAGACCACGGCTACTGGACGACAAACACGGGGAAAGGCTTATTTGGCCGGCACTCGTGTGAAACTTCAGGTGGAAGAACGCCGGGGCCTTTCGCTCAGAACGCCAGAGGGACAGGATCTGATGCAGCTGACGCAGGCCACCATGTTTCGCACGAGACGCGGGAAGGCACAACCTGTACATGGTTCACGCTTGATCAGGTGTAATAAAACGGAGCATTTTGGTGAAAGCCGAGCAAGGGTTCTTCTATTCGATTATTTAATAATTTTCGAAGCACAATCGCGCAATAATACCATCATGTATTGGACTGAAAAATACCGCACACTACGCTAACTTCCACTCGTCGTTTCTACCGCAACACCAAGGCGAGCTACTCACCGTGTTAAAGCGACGCATGATGGAGCCCTCTAGAATCATGTTTTTAACCGTGCCGGCGTACACGTTTCCGTCGTTGGTGTTGATTCGCTGCGGACACAGCGTTCTGATGCCACCAGCCGCCTCAGGCAGCTGAAACAGGTCACAGGGGCGGGGTTACTGGGGTCAGTTCAGCGACGGAACACAGGTCATGCGGTTCAGGCGAGGTCAGGTCATGGAACTCCGGGTGGACCCGGCCAGTCAGCGCTGTCGTCTGCACGCAAATGAAGGTTTCGGTACGGCTGGCGTCTGGTCACACACGAAGCAGAGCAATAAGCAAGGCCCGGTGCCCCTGGTTCGCGCGAGGATTAAGCATTCGCTTTTGGCGCCTATTTTCGACAATAGTATCTTCGGGTCTTTGCTATTGGCCGGGGGTCTCGTCGAACAACTCGTAAACAATCGAACTACTCGCAATAATCACCTGTCAATAAATGCCGTATGCATCGGTCACGTGTTAGTTCAGATATGCTCCAGCCGTTTTAGGCCAAACGAGGTCAGCCGGTGCGGATCACGCTGTAACGACGCCGCCTGGGTGACGGAATGTCACCTGGCGCCGCGGCCGCTGACACGAGCGAATCAGCTGAAGTCAGTTCACAGGGCTGGGGGCCGTTATCATGCAACGTAAGGACCGGCAAGAACAGGACCCCATCTTCGCCGTGTCGTGATATTGCTTGACGTCCTTAGTGCAGGTCATGTGATCCACATGCGACGACGACCACCTCAGACTAGGACGTCCTCCATTGAGAAGCGACAGGACTTTACATTCAGCATGAAGATTACAAACAAAAAGGTATCCTCTTCATTTTTAAGGCACCACCCCTTTTCCGGCGTTTTTTTATCGCCGAAGTATGCACCCGGCAATACGAAGATCGAATTATATGTTTCTTTTCCTCCTTGAAGGTTCTCCGTTTGTGTAGTACAGCACCATCTATATCTCGATACACGGCAAAATGCCGATTTGCAGACTATTTCATAAGGAACGGCACAGGTGCTCCGTGACGACGCGATTCGATTTTCACGGACCAAGCTGTTTTGTCAAATTTTACGCACCATACACTTCGAGCATAAATTCAGTGGCTTAGGCTGGCCGTCCAGCATTTTCGGTGTGTATCGAAGCCAACCATAACATGCATGTTGGTTTGCATCCAGCTTAATCACAGCCTCCACCACCGTAAGCGTGTATTCTATTGTATTTCACTGGACAACGAGTGGGCCTGGCAGACCTCACATCTCCTGAAACCCCTGACTGGCTCAGCCTTGAAGACAACTGTCTGAAGTCAGCCGTCCGTCCCGACAGCTCAGTTGGTTAGAACGCCTGTTTTCAAATCCACCCACCCGTGGCGGGATGGGTTTAAGTCAAATTAGAAACTGGTCATTTGTTCTTGACAGGTATGGTCTGCGGTCGGTGGCAGCGGCCGCGCTAAAGGTCAGGTGACGTCAGAGGGCAGGGCGGGCCGTGCCGAGCATTGTGACACATCAAACTTCCGCCACCAAATTCTAACGTTGACCCGGCACAATCAGATGGTAGGGATCAGCTCTCACATCAACCACTGCTTAGCGTAGCTCTGATCCCGGAAACTCATCTACTTAAAAGCTTCGGATTTAATGTGAAAACTAGCACTCAGTGAATTGGCCGCTCGGTGGTAACGAGCCAGCTGACTGGCCTGTATGAAGCCCCGTCATCGCTAGGTCTGTTTGGCTGGGACGTTGTGAGGGTAACTGACCACATTGCCTTCAAGCACGACATGTACTTCCCGTTCTGTGAAGCCGTGAAGCCGTGAATAATGGACTTATGAGCAAGGCGCAGGAGCCTCAGCCGAAGACAGCAAGGCGCCAAGCGGAACGTTTTGTTAACGGATGCGGTAGCCAATGATGGTAATGGTACCTGCCTGAGCCCGATATGGTACTTACGGCAATGCTAACCTGTAAATAAGCCTCGGTGAAAGACTCACGCCGTGCACCGTACCGTGAGACGTATCAGAACACCAGGACCCGCACCAGAACACCAGAACCCGCACCAGAACACCAGAACCCGCACCAGAACAGCGCGCTGAGCCGACGCAGCGTCCGACCTACCCTGGTCTCGGCTCGCTTGGTGACTGCCGCGAGACGCACCCGCACCAGAACAGCGCGCCGAGCCGGCGCGGCGTCCGACCTACCCTGGTCTCGGCTCGCTTGGTGTACTGCTCGCTGCAGTCCCAGGCGCAGATCCTGCGGTCGCCCTCGCCGCCCGACAGCAGCGTCACCTCCGACAGCAGCAGCAGTGACGTCACCGCCGAGGAATGCGCCTGTGGCACGCGGCACGGTCACGCTCGCTCTGGTGTCGGCGGCGGGCCGGCCCAGCACACGACATCGACGCTCGACCAGGCTGAATAAAAGCGAGTTGTGTGAGTTGAAAACCGCGTTACAGCTGTCATTGGCACTGCCATGCGTCACCCCATGCAAAGACCGTTTTTATTCTGCACTGGCCCGCCCTACAATGCGTAGTTGATCACTTATGTATCCGAAATAATGCCGCCACAATATCTATGGCCGTACTAGTACAAAGAGACTTGGGGGCATGCAGCTGGGATGAGCATCATTGCCGCAAAGCCTGGCACCGTGTCCGCCTCTGGGACAGACGCGGGGGATCAGACTCAAGTACCTTCCTCTCCTCCCATCACAAGGACACAGAACACTCGGCCGCTCTTGCCTCGAAGTCGACCCGTTTGTAGTATTTGCCCTCGTTGTCGATGGTCCAGGTGGTGATGAAGCCGTCAGAGTCGCCGGTGATCAGATCCCCGCCGGGCTCGAACTCCACCGCCAGCACCGTCCGAGCCGAGGACTGCCAGAGACGCAGAGACCCGAGTCACGCACGGCACTGCAGGCGGCCGACCCGAGTCACGCACAGCACTGCAGGCGGCCGACTCGAGCCAATTACAGCACTGTAGACGGCCGACTTGAGTCATATACAGCACTGCAGGTGAACGACTCCAGTCAATTATAGCACTCCAGGTGAACGAATTGAATCACGCACGGCACTGCAGATTACCTACTCAAGTTACGCACAACAGTGCAGGCGATTCGAGTCACGTATAACAATGGAGATGACCGACTCGAGTCACGCTCAACACTGCAGGTGGCCGACCAGGGTCATGCACAGCATTGCATGCAGCCCATTCGAGTCGCGCACAGCAATGCAGGCGGCGGACTCGAGTCACGCATAGCACTGCAGGCGGCCGACTCGAGTCGGTAGAGTGCCTCTCAGGCGGCTTATCCAAGAGAAGGTAAGCCGCAGTTGGTGTGCTTAGACTTTCGAAATGTGTGGTAGTTATGTCGGGGTTAGGGCATAGTGGCATTGACAACGTGGGTAGAATTTTCTTACAGGCTGTAGAAGATTCACTGCTCAGCTTAGTTTCGTAAAGGGCTGGAGCACAGACAGCATCATTACTCAAAGCATATTTTTTCTTCAAGTGCTAAATTATCTTATTCTATAAGAACATCGTGGCACCTACATTATGACACAATCGCTTCTTGATCAGGAAAGCTTACGGTTCCGAAGACATCAACAGAATCGAAGATACCGTCCCTTCGTTTGTTCCAGAACGTCAGGTGATGCTTCCCGTGCGTGATGATGAGGTTGTTGTCCATGGGGTGGAACTTGGCGCCGTACACGTGGTCCTGGTGCGTCTGCACAGGGGCAGACCGAGCGGAACACGTGAGCCGTTTCAACTTTCATGGGCGCTTCAAAAGAGGCACTGTCGAATAACGAAATACGAAGTCATTCGCAAGCGAACACATCTGCAATTCAGGTGCTTCAAACTCGCCCTAATCTTAGCAAGCACACGACGACAAGGAACTTGCAGGTAGCTGCAAAATCCTGTATTGCACGAATCGGCATGCATGATGCGTTATAAAAGTTATTTCGAAGCAAATATTGACACAATTTACAAGAATTGAGGGCACATGTCGTTAATGATACATGCAGCGCTGACCAGGCTAATAAACGGCCAAGATTAATGGAAAACAACTCAACAACTCTACGTCCTCGCGCTCATCACTCATGTAACTGTCTTAGTGAGGATACGCTGCATCAGCTCCCGCTGGTGCATACCGCCACCTTGCCGCGGCCTGCTCGCGGTACGTACCGCCACCTTGCCGAGGATCTGCTCGTTGTGCCAGGTCCAAACGGTGAGCAGGTGCTCATCGCCGGCGTCCACGGCCAGCAGGTAGGCGCCCTGGTTCATCTTGGAGAAGCTGACGGCAGCCACGCCCACCCGCAGCTCCCGGCTGCCGAACACGTGCAGCGTGTCGAGGCGCTCGGCGCCCCAGACCCGGACCGAGGCGCCGCGCGAGCCCGGCCCGGCCCGCTGGCCGGAGGCCACGATGTGCCGCGACGGGTGCAGGTCCATGCTGCCGACGGAGACGCGCGCGTCATGGCCTGCTCCACGGGGTATTCTATCGCTGAGGTGAGAGTGAAACAAGTCGGTTGTCTTCTTACGGACCAGCGTCTTTACCCCTCGGCCACCTTTCCGCGTTGAGATGGGATGTGTGCCGTGTCACGAGGGCAGCTGGGCTGAGCGGATCATGGACATGGGCAACAGTGATCATGGGTGATCACTGTTGCGTGTCCATGCCGTTGGGCGGGAGCGTGGACGGAGAGTGTGGACAGCATTCGGAGGGCTCGGGACACTTTGATGCCCATGCAAGAGCAGTGTGTTTGGGGTTAAGGCATGCATGTTAGCGGGAATTGTGGCAGTCAAAGGGGTTGCATGTGCTGTGGCAAACAACCGGCGCAAACAACAATCCTTTTGAATGTGCAGAATTATTGACAGAAGCGCAAGCACATGACTGAAATAAATGCAAGCGGGCATGCCGAGTCTGAAGAGCGGAGGGTCAGACTTACGACCGCAAAACCATGAAATGAAGCCGCCCATTGTGCCGTGTTTCACCGCTATCATCAGCCGTCACTGCTACCATCGTGCAACATTCGGACATAAACGCTTTAAAGTACATTGAGCTCGAAATTAATAGTGACAGCTAATCCCAACCGGGTCACAAGCGGCAGCAGCCGCGAAGGACCGCTCAGTGCGACGCACGACAACCCACAAACGTCGTGAGCAATTTCGCTCAGTGTTCGAACGTGGCCACGAAACCAACACCGCTCGTCGCGTCTGGCGCTGCCTCGCGGAGTAGGCATTAGCACCCCGTGACCGGCGCGGGGCGGGGCGCGGCAGAGCTCAGCGTCGGCCGCGTGCCAGGCACGGGGCTGGGAGCGGCAGAGCTCAGCGTCGGCCGCGTGACCAGCGCGGGGCGGGTCGGGGCGCGGCAGAGCTCAGCGTCTGGCCGCGTGACCAGCGAGGGGCGGGGCGGGGCGGGCAGAGCTCAGCGTCTGCCACGTTGGCCAGCGCGGGGCGGGGGCGGGCGCGGCAGAGCTCAGCTTCGGCCACGTGACCAGCGCGGGGCGAGGCGGGGCGCGGCAGAGCTCAGCGTCGGCCGCGGGACCAGCGCGGGGCGGGGGCGGGGCGCGGCAGAGCTCAGCGTCGGCCACGTGACCAGCGCGGGGCGGGGCGGAGCGCGGCATAGCTCGGCGTCCGCCGCGTGACCGGCGCGGGAGCGGCAGAACTCACCACAGGATGTCCTCCGAGTGCTCGGTGTAGTGCCGCTGGGAGTCGGTGTGCCGGTTCAGCAGCACGGCCACGGCGGCCACATAGTAGAGCAGCTCGCCCGAAGGCAGCACCCACAGGTTGCGGTACACGTCCACGCCGCGGTAGCCGTGACTGGTCGGTCGGTCAGGGAAACGGCGCGGCATTGGGTGGCGCATGCACACAGGAGGGGTCTGAGGGGCAGGGGCCGACCAGCGCTGGCCGTTGGGGTGGGGGGGCGTGTGGGGGGGGGGGGGCAACCGCCAATGTGAAGATTCGGACGCTGGAGAGAACGGCATTGCCGAGTTATGGTGCGGGCAAACCCTCACGCCAAGTTTTGGATGATTGCATTACAAATCAGGCTTAACTGCAAAGTTTCAAAAGCGCTGTCCAATGGTTGGGAGACTATGAAATAGGCGTATCTCACGTTAGAGCGGGTTTGCTTTGCAACCCATGACTGCATGCGGCTGGATATCGCGTGCGTCGGAACAATCCGCTTGAAGGTGACGTCTGCAGAAGGTGACGATCCCTCGGGCCAAGCAGGCATTCACCCGGCCCTTTTGGCTGTTTCAACTGACCCTTGAAATGTACTCTCCGAGCAGCCGCGTCACTTGACAAGAAGCCATTACACTAACAACTCCGGGGTAATTGGCCGTTTGGACTCATGGCGTGCTAAGCTGTAAAGTTCGCCCGCCGTTTGTCTCCATTTAGTTTTGACGCATTCTGGCTTCTTTGAATCCCCCCGCGCCCTAGCATTGATCTTTCTTCGGTACGGTTGGCACAGGTGCAAACAAAGTCATGTCGCTCGCTTCACACAATAGCACCGCCCAGAGGCTCCATCTGGCATCATGATCATTGAGCTTTCATGGAGGTACTTTTCCTTCATTGTGATTAAAACTGAAAGAATGTGTTTGCATACTGGACTCAAATTGACATAAGTATTTAAAGCTTAAGCGCTTTTCATAAGATTGTAATATTTGGCGGAAAACATAGGCAAAAAGGAAGAAAGAGAACGTTGCTGAAAATAACGAGCATCAAATCCGTCTTTATAGCAAAATGCTTCGAGTTTTACGCCAGGTATTCGCACAACACCGTTACAGGCGAGTCCACGATGCATAGCGATCTGCAGAGAAGTAGTGATGAAGATGTTTTTAGTATAGCTCGAGGTAAACACGATCACCAACTGTCTCGGGCGTTGTTGAGGGCAGACATGGGTGTGAGTAATAACGTGAAACCGAGTCTGGGTACGGGTGCTGGTGACCGAGTCCGGGCCTGAATGCTGGTGACCGAATCTGGGTCCAGGTGCTGGTGACCGAATCTGGGTCCAGGTGCTGGTGACCGAGTCTGGGCTCAGGTGCTGGTGACCGAGCGTGGGTCCGGGTGCTAGTGACTGAGTTTGGGTCCGGGTGCTGGTCACCGAGTCTGAGTCCGGGTGCTGGTCACCGAGTCTGGTTCAGAGTCCCGAGTTAACACCAGACCCATGCCAAAGTCTGAGTTAAAGTCCAGCACTTTATACGGATCCTGAGTCTGGGTCTGAGACCAGGTCTGAGTCGGTGCCGAGTCCTAAAGCGTTCAGTCCGAATCCTGTCGACTTCAGACGAAGTCGCACGGAAAGAGGATGGTTCATAACAGGCGGCCAGAGGCAGAGGTCAAGGGTTAATATCATAACTGGCAACAAGCTAGCACCTTACCCAGCCCAAAATTATTTTGATTTAACTGATGGTCCTACCTAAATTCTCGAACAGTTAGTATTGAGATAGACACTGAGGTTATGACTGTATTTTTTACCTTTAGTTACTTTTAATTGCTGATACAATCTTCCGTAAGCTCGTCACTAAAAATAATTAATTACAAACTTAATCACTTGAACTAGATACAATTGTGTGTAAAATAAACACTAGATTACACCAATCCAATCCAACATAAAAAACATAGCCTAGATGCAAACTAACTTAACGTAGACAAAGTTAAGCAAAGTTTAAACGCAGCCGGAACCCGCCGAGAAGCTTGAGTCATTCAACGCAACGCAGCCCAATGAGTTTGACGATTTTTCCTTATTCTGTGTAGCAAACTGGATCTACATTTTCCTCATGCGCTGTGTGGGCCCTCACGCCCTTTACAGACAATTAAATATGGACGCTCGTTTGTTCGAACCACCAGGCTTCTATAATCGGTGAGTCTCAGTCGTTAGGGTCGAGTTGAATTCCGTGCTCGCGGTCCATGCCCGTGTCAAATTATCATTTATCTTTAAGTGAATCGATTCGCTCGAACCCAAGTCTCACAAGTCCGAAGACGAGCCGTGCGCTGCCGATCCCAGGGCTGGAAATGCTCGACGAATGCTCACTCTGGCTCCTGAGGCCCTGACCGGGATACGCGGATCACAAGAGAAAAGGCACATTGAAAAGCGTCCCGCGATTGAGGGGCCAACGAAGTGTTCACGCATTACACCAGCGCCGTCCATTGTAAAACTATGCTAACTATATACCAACTATAACACTGTGCTGACAAAACACCAACTATAAATATACCAACTATAAATACAAACTTATAAATAAGCTGACAGCGACCAGCAGACCAGTATCAGAGGATACACCCAGTCCAGCTTGAGTCGCTTCTCCGGCGGCAGGTACTGCACGGGCATGTCCTTGGACGGCTTGTAGAAGGTCCGCACGCGGCCTAGCAGGCTGACCTTGACCTTGGACTTCTCGGAGGCGCTCTTCGGAGCCGAGACGTCACTCACAGATTCAGCCCTGCTTCGCGTCGTCAGCGGCTTCTTTTCTTTCACTGAAACACGCATACATCAACAAAATTACAACGCTTTCATTATGCAGCACTGTTAAAATAGGGAGCGATCAAAATGTGAAGTTGCCGGATGCTTGAAGCTGCTCATTGTGAAGTGATCTTCCTAACATACCATCACAATGCAAATAACACTACCGCATGTTTGTCTGGCGGTTAGAATCCGCGCTAAGCTCAAAATTCTTCATCGTAATGAAAGAGCGTGTCAAAAATTTGTCTTATGAGGAATGACAGCATGCTGAGCATTCCACATAAATACCCACGAAGCCAAATATTTCTTTTCGGAAAAAACTATTGTGCCTTTGAGCACCTGAAACTTCTACCCCAAAAGTTGAACGATGTGACTTTGTTCTACATCGCATCCTTTTTCTCTCTTCAATTTTGTCTGCCCTGCTCCTCTTCTCCGTTAACTGACCCCTGTCTTCCTCTTTCTCCTTTTCACTTTCTTTCCCCAATTCTCTGTCTCCCTCACTCTCTCTTCCTTTCTCCCTCTCCCTGTCTTTTTCTTCCCTCTCTCGCTCCCTTTCCCTGTCTTTCTTTCCCCTTCTCTTCCTCCAGCTGGCTTTTCTCCCCCTCTCTCCCTCTCCCTGTCTTCCTCCCCCCTCTCTCTCTCACCCTGCAGGAGGGGCTCGCTGTTGTGGCGTCGCAGGATCTTGTTGAGCCGCTTGTCCTCCACGCCGCGGTGCGCCTCCTCTCGCGACACCTTCGCGCCCCGCACTGTCGTCTGCTCGCCCGTGCACAGGTAGAACGTGTCGGTCTCGTAGAAGTCGTTCCGCAGCTGTGAGAAGCTCTTTACCTGCCGTGACGGGTGCAGTGTATTCAGACTGCTGAGGGCGCTGAGTGAGCACCATTGGGCATGTCCATAGTTCCCTCTACGTACTGGACATTTCGATACAGCCTGATAACTCCACGAATTTGGTCTCCCTCGCAGTCCGAATCGTAAAATCCATCGTAATGGATAGACTTCAGCCAAAATGTGAGGTTTTGATGGTGAGCATAAACTGCGCAAATACTAGATCGTAAAATTGTGCTCCGGGAAATATGGATAGAAACCTCTAGCATGGAACACAATTTCAGGGTTCATGTCGTGGCAATGCATAACAAATGACGCGCGGTGTTACTTATTTGTAGCCTGCCTGGCCGGTAACGAATAGACCTAATATGGTTTCAACAGAACTTTTGATAAGAAGACGTTGATACACTGCAAGGAAGGTTTTAGCGTGGCGCAGTTGTTGCCGTGGAGCACAACGCCCTTTCGTCCATTGATATTGCGTAAACACCGAGCATGCTTTAATGCCGTGACTCCGCTGAAGTGGTGCCGGTCAACACTGACCTCTTTAGGTAGCTTTATCTTCAAAGCATCGCTTATGACTAAAGCGTGGTAAACAATTGACTGCGAGTGGGACGAACATAGATATTCCTTTGAGAAATCTGACGCACCCAGGAGTTTGCCTAACTCGGCGCACAACTGTGTCTTGTAACAAGATCAATTTCCATCACATTCTGTTGGTGATGGGAATATTCCAACCGAAGGACGCAGTCTGCAATGTTTTTGCTATTTACCGCTCTATAATAAGCACAAATACAGTGACAGTGTGGCTAATTGCATTCCGCGCCGTGATGTTGTTTGCTCAAAACAGTGTTCAGCACGATGCGCACCAGTGCGAGGACACTGTTGCGACAAACGTGCTGACAAGCGTACAATAGCTGGTGCCCGTTAAAGTTAAATCGACTTGGATGCCATGTAATCACTTACCGTGACTGCCCATGACCGTAGGACCGCTCCGAAACTTCCTGATGTGTGCGGCATTTGTAACCTTTCCACCGAGCAAGAACTGTGCAGTTTTAAAGTAGTCCGAGTAGTCATTAGTGTGGCACTTCTTATAATCGACCAAAGTACCTCACTTAATTAAAGCATCTTCATTTATAGCTCAATTGAGCTGTGTAGGCATGATCAGACCTAACCATTACGTACAGAATGCGGACAAAATTTCGCGCGAAATGAATGTGCACAGGCTTCGTGAAAGTTACAGCCATGAGCAGCGGCTCTTACCTCTTGACCCCAGGTGGTGTACATCCTGCGGGCGTCCTTCAACTTCACAACTTGCCCGAGATCCTGGAGCACGTCCTCGAAGCGCTGAGTCGTTTTCAAGTTTAAGTGCACGTAGCTCTACAAACGAGGTGCCGGTCGTTAGTAGCATGTTCGTGGTGTGACCTCACCGCCTGAAACGGCGGCTCACGCGTGGAAATCTCACGAGACCGAATACGCGCCATTCGGAACATCGCGTTGTGGCATTGTCGACTTCTTGGCATAATCTGAAATGGACGGTCTCCCTCGTGGTAAAATGTTTCCTTTTGCTTGTAAATAAATTTGGATGTGCTTGTGTCAAATTGCACGTCAACCCCTCAGCTGATACCAATATTCTCAAAGCTCAGGGCTGCACCAGCGCCGCCAACCAAGCATCAATTCAAGCCGCCCGCTCGCTGGCTTGCCCAGGAGCCGGTCCTGCTGGCGCGAGCTGACCGCTGCCCTGACCTCGGGTCATGGGTCGGCCGTAGCGCGCGTCTGTCATCGGCCCCGTACGGACACCGACGGCTGGGCCCCCGCCGGCGGCGCCGTGCCGTATTTGTGTCATCGCCACAGAGACGGCTGGCGCCGGCCCGCCAGCGGAGGGGTGGCGCGTCACCATCGCGTGGAAAGGGTGGCAGAGCGGGGCCGGGCACGGAAGGGCATGTGGCGCCCACGCTCTGTAGCGCTGCGTCACCCTGGCCGGCGATCGGCGCCGAGGCGAAAATACTTTGCGCTGGTGAATACCTTTGAACTGCGTGCACGACGTGTTGATAGACTGTGTTGGGAGGCGTAGTCAGTGAGTAGCTTTGTGTCATCAGTCTATGACTCTCGCATCAGGCAGTCAGCGCTCCCGCCTGCGCGAGGACGCACTCGTCTCACCCGTGCCGTGCCTTAGCTCTCACCTGGATCGACTTGTCCAGGTTGTTGATGATCTTGATCTTGCAGCCGTCGCCGGAGCGGCGGCCGCCGCTCTTGCCGGAGCCGCCGCTGCCCTTGCCGAACACGCGCTTGACGACCGGCGAGAGCGGCTTGACGCGGTGCCGCTTCGGCTTCTCCCGGCGCGCGCTCAGGTCATGCGTCTCCGGCTGGGTCCGGCTGTCCAGGCTCTTCATGCCGTACGGCGCCTTCTGCAACACCAGAGGGAGAGCTGCAGGCAGGGGCGCACTGCCGCGGGCGGAATGCTGCCGACTGTCAGCTGGCAAGCGGGCGGGCATTGGCCTCAGACGGCGACGGGCGGCACGTGTCTTCCCACCGCGCGTCAGTGAGCAGAACCAGACAAAAATTGTGAATTCAGCACTCATGATGCACTGCAATGACCCATTCAAAGAAATCGAAAACAAGTTTTAGGATACCTGAGAAATGTTTACATTTTCTCGAGATGTCTATTTATTCGATAAGCTGGGGAGTGATTACACAATAGATACAGCATAATTACACGAAATCTTGTGGTTGGCAGGCAACTAAATTACTACAAAGAAATGCGATGTGATAAACGGGAAACTTTGTTCCTTGGCAACTGATAACAAAAGAGCCTATGATAAAAGTCGCCTAAAGCCTTTATTTTCTGAATCGGCGAGGCGAGAGGACAGTTTATGAAGCACTGGCCCGGATCGGCTAACTGCGCGCGGGGCCGTGCGAACAAATTCGTCCCGTAGGGTTCACATCATCTAGCGTGATTCACCGCGAGCGACGTAGCGGCATTCCGTCTTCTTATTTTTTTTCTGCACCTCGCGATGATGTCGGTGTAGGATTCATGCCGTTAAATAGCGAAGGCTTCAGCTAATATGGCGTCATCCACGATATCTGTGGAGGGCTTTGAACATGCGCCTCGGGCTTGCTGAAAACTGAATCATTTCCGGGCTGCGACGGTCTGCTCCGTGTCATTTCGTAAGAGACGGGTAGCAGAACACACATAGTACACATAGATTCATTTTTGTATTCAAGCAACACATACATGTAGCCGTTTTTTGGCCTATGTGTGCACTTGTAAATAATGAACCTTCAGTATGCTAGCAGGTGCCGATTAAACGTTATCAAGCGAGCATCGAGACGGCGCATATATGACGTCATAGAGCAAGGACCGGCGCTGATGAGCATCAGCATCGTCTCGAAACATCTGGTAGTCAGTTTGCACTTGCCCATCCTTGAATTGCGTCGTGTAGGGTCTCGGACACTCAGCATCGGACGCGTCCGTAGCTGGGAATGCCCGAGCCCGGTAGCCGTCCGTAGTGCTCCACCTCGGTCACGTAACCCGCCGATCGATCAGCTGATCAGGCAACGGTGCATTAGGGGTGGTGAGCTGTTTCGTAGCTGTTATATCCAAACTGCCTCTGAGTGAACACTAAAAGCCAATCTGAAACTAATGTTGGACTTCTACCTGTTGGTGTTCGCCCTTGCTTGCCTTAAAGTTAACCGTCCGGTGATGCGGTGTTTTTGAGATATTGCATTGATTGCACTACTCCCGCAACTGCTTCACTCTCAGATTAGGCAGCCATTTCGCTGGAGAGTGTCCAACAGTACACGCAAAGCTACAAATGCGAATACTTACCGAGTCAGATCAATTTGCTATTACTGAACCAAATTAAGCGCTCTCAGATTATCACTTTGCAGCATAAGCCATTTCATCCCGCGGACTCAGATGGGTATCACGACTAGTGATACAACACATGCATACGCAACCTTAGCTGGCCGCGTAACCGGCGCTCGTCAGGAGGCATCAACATTTATAGAAGCTCACAAAGCTGGACGTGACGGTTTTGTAGGCGCAAAAGTATCTGAGTGACGTCACTGTAAGCATTGTCGGGGAACCGTTGTCACAAACTTCCGAAGCTAATCCGCACCATTCTCGATAGATCAGAAAGAACATGGCAGTTGCATCAGAACTGCACCAAACTCGGCAAAAGCTACGCGCATTGTGCAGCGTTCGTGGGCGTGCCGACGAGGACCTGCTGCTTTACGTCTTTTACAGCGAGAATGCCAGAAGAACAGACGCAAGACCGGCCGATTTGCCAGCGAGAACATTAGGAGAACAGACACCCGCCCGGCCGGTCCGCCACCGAGAGCGCCAGAACAGACGCCTGACCGGCCGATCCGCCAGCGAGAACGCCAGAACAGACACCCGCCTGGCCGATCCGCCAGAGAGAACGTCAGAACAGACACCCGCCTAGCCGATCCGCCAGCGAGAACGCCAGGACAGACGCCTAACCGGCCGATCCGCCAGCGAGAACGCTAGAACAGGTGCCCGACCGGCCGATCTGCCATTAATAACGCCAGGAGAACAGATGCCCGCCTGGCCGATCCACCAGCGAGAACGCCAGAACAGACACCCGCCCGGCCGATCCGCCAGCGAGAACGCCAGAACAGACACCCGACCGGTCGATCCGCCGGAGAGGCCGAGCGCCGCGTCGACTTACGTCGTAGTGGGGGAACGGCTCTAGTCCGGCCTTGGCCCTGCAGCAGGCGCAGCGCGGGTTCCGGTGTCCCACCCCGCTGTACAGCCGCGCGTACACGGACATGGGGCGGGCAGAGCGCACGCGCGCCGCGTCCAGCTGCCGCCAGGCAGCGCTCGCCTCGGGCGTCTCCAGCGACAGCGTCTCGGACGACTCGGCCGACTCGTCGGGCGGCGTCAGTGGCGGCGGCTCGGGCGGCGCCAGCCGGTGCCGGTGCGCGGCGAGCGAAGTGGCCGGGCGCGGCGCCGCGTCGTAGTCCGTGACGGTGATGCTCACCATGGGCGCTAGACGGTCGGCCGGCTCAGCACCAGGAAGGTCGTGGGCACGGAGCTGGCGCGTGAGCCGCTGCGCCGGCCCGAGCGCCGCTCGACGCTGCGGGGCCGCCGAGGCGAGTCGCCGCACGCGTGGGGCGAGCGGCGCCGCGGTCGGCGCAGCGACGGCGAGGCGATGGCCTGGACCGAGGAGGAGCGGCTCGCGGCGCGGCTCCAGCGCGCCTCCGACGGCGCCGGCGAGCGCGCCGTCGGGGCTCGAGACTCTGACGAGCTCGTGAGCGGCGGCAGCGGCGCCAGCGGCGTGCCGGCGAAGCGGCGCAGGAAGCGCTCGTTCTGGCTCACCCAGTCCCAGACGCGGCGCTGGCGCACCAGCTCCAGGCTGTCCAGCACACGGAAGGACGGCGAGCTGGTGGACGACGGTCCGATGTCGGGCAGCGGCCGCTGGTGCTTGTGCAGGCTGTAGCTGCGCCGCGGCGACGGCGGTGGCGACGGCGACAGCGTCGGCGGCGGGCTCGGGCGCGGCCGGTCCTCGATGGCGTGCAACGTCACTCGGCGCCGCGGGTTGCGGTACGTGCTGACGTCGAAGAAGCGGTTGACGCGGCCCGGCGGCAAGTAGCGGATCCTCCTGCGTGGTACTGTGACGCGGCCACCGGCGTTCATCTCCCGCGGTACACCGTTTGGGGACAGGGCCCGTGCGGCTGGCCGCGGGCGGCCATCACAGCTCCGTCCGGCACGGCGGCGGCGGGCGCCTCTGCCGTCGGTGCGGCCGCATTGTTTACCCCTCTGTTGACTGGTTGCGGCGGCGAGATAGGATCAGCCGGGCGCGATTGGCTCGCACTAACGAGCGGCAGCCGCGCCTGACCTCGACCTGCCTCCGGGCGATACGATCTCGCCGCGAGCAGCGGCCACCACCGAGCCCATGTCCGTACGATGTTCCGACGGGCGCCACGCACTGAGGTCGGCCGGCTGCTAGAGGCGTCTGCGGGCTGCGGCGCGGCCAGGGGCGGCGTCAGGAGCTCGGCGAGGGAGGCAGCAACCGCCGGTGTCTCAGATCCACCGCGTGTGAGATCGCCCGACCTCCCCGGACGGCGGAGCCGGAGTGCCGACGGAGTGACCTCGCGGCGCGCCACGGCCAGCCGGAGTGGGCCGTCGCGCCGGGGAGCCGCCGCCGGCGTTCGTGTCTCAGATGGCGGCGCTCTCTAACGAACTATTGACACTGCGGCCGTCAGGCAAGACACGGCGCTAATTATGGGGAAGTCGGGCGCACGGACAGCGCGTGGCTGCAGAGACGGTCCTGCGAACGACCACTCGCCACAAACAACTGCTGGGTTAAACGTCCTGGGGTTCGCGAAGCTCGGCTAACTCATTAGGAAGGTCCGTTTGCATGGACCGTATTTGTGTGTAATGTGTGAGCAGTGACGTAGACAAATTTCGCCGCCACATGTGCGTAATTTTGCCGAAGAAGTTTTGATAAAACTGCAAGAATTGTTGTTCAGCTCCTCATGTTTTGCCTTCGTGTTGTCAAATTCGTGGGATGTCGTGTCACAAAAAATGAGCTTCGAATACTTATATATGTCAAATAGATCATGGCATTCCGAAAAATATAGCCAACATGCTTAATCACAGCAGTGGCCATACCACTGATTTTTGAACTGTATATGATACGTGCAGATTACATTTGCTGGTCACACTGGCTGTTGAGAAGATTGCTCTGAGCATATACAAAAAAGGTATAGCTTTATTACCAATGATCTTCGGCATCCTCGAAGTTCTAAGAAAATCTCGTGACGTCACTTTTCTATTCTGTTCAGCGACGACTCATTTCAGCGTGAAGCAGCTCAGATGCAAAATTGAGGCGTGTGTGCGTGACAATGCTTATGTAATGAACCATATAAAATGCAGCGGCTCTTGGTTTTAACGAGACAGCAGTCAACGACCTCAACGGCCATGCACGCAGCCCCGGCCTTCTCGCTGAGGCGCCCGCTGCGCTGTACAACAGTTAACTGGAGGCCATCACAGCGCATCTTGTTAAAAGGAAAAACTCACTTTCAAGGACTAGCAAAACCGACAAAACACAGCTTGGACAGTAAATTAGACCAAGGCACGCTTGCTGCTGTTGTCAAAAGAGGCAGAAAGTTGCGAAATTTTTGCGAAGTAAAACACCGGCCCAGTTACGTCACACCGGGCGTGACGTCACATCCAATGAATTACCGGTCGGCAGCGGCGATTGGCAGCCAGGCTATCTGCCATTTCTAGTGGCAGGTGACGTCACATCCAACGAATCACCGATCGGTAGCGGATGTTGGCGGTCAGGCCGCTCGCCACTTTTAGTGGCATTTCCGGTCGCACAATAATATTCCTATCTGCAGTGTCCTGGTTTGGGTAAGCTAATTGCATTCAAGCTCACTAACTAGAGCGTTCCAGTAAAGTCTCGGTTGAAGACGTCTCCTTGTGCACCCAAGCTCAGCTGCCTCACTGCAAAGTCCTATGGAAGTGAGACTTTTCTTTTCAAGTCACTGACATCCACGAATACATTCACGACTTATGTCAGCCATTTATTTACACGTTACATTAAATGATCCCTGTTTCGTAGGCTTGAAATGGTGTATCCTTTACTCTTAATTTTGTTTTACGTCATTTAAAAGTGGCTCTTGCGGAATGTTTTACAACGGAGTACAAAATAAAGCTCGCATTAAGTCCACAGTTGTACGGTTGCGCATGGTTTACACCTTGCTATATCGCTTCATCATCTTACTGGTTTTCCTGGTTCTTCCATGCTGGTCAAAAATCTGCATGGATAGCAGGAGCCGTGAAAAGGAACTACTGGTGCCATCTTCGTTACCCAGCGGGATTTAAGACAACGGCATTTGCGATGAATGCAATGTCAGTGAGGGTGGACGTGAAAATTTAAAGCACGTTGAGATGACTTTGATTCCGCCTTGACCCGTCGCCCTGATAATGGGAGGGGTTGATGTGAGCACTCCCTAAGGTTTTTAAGTGACTTCTCCGGCATGTTGTGCAATCGCGCCAAAAATTTAATACCCTACAGAGTGTGGTTAGCTTGCCTGGTTTCGGAGCAGCAGCGGCTTTGGGAGCACTGCACAGCGATCTACGGCAGGCAACCGACGATGCGGAACCCGCGCGGCGAGCCGAAAGTGTTGTGTTAAGGGAGCCACAGATAATAAAAACATGCTCAAAACATATAGAAAAATACATACAATTGCTCTCAGGATTGAACAAGAAATACGCCAGTATAGATCTTGCATCGCTACGACGCATCTCCTCGTATGTATGATCTCGTCAAACTGAAAAAATGCGATTTTCACGAATATTATATCCTTAACTTGGAATGATAGGGTCATTTATTGATCAAATGACATAAAAACCAGTGCCAATCACGAAGTCTTGATGATTCCAATCCAGCGGCGTTTTCTGCTAAGCTTCATCTTTATTACTTTGGAAACTACAAGGGGTCGCATAGACTCTTCTATCAGTTTGCGTTATGAGAAATGATGAATCAGGGCAAAAGTTTATGACCATAAAACTCGAATTACGATATATGTCTTCGAGGAGTAGAACAAAATAGGAATAGGACGTTGACAGCGTAAAACTATAAAACTAAAACTTATACATAACGACCGAATGCATCTAAGCAATCTAGAGGCAAACACATCACTAAGAGTCGTCAACTGATGCATTCGTAGAGTGGCACGAAGTGAATGATAGGACAATCAGTAGTAATAGCCTAAGTCCTGGAGAAAAAAGCAGGAGAATGGAAATATGAATGCGTTGATATTTTGGCAGCAAGCCCTTATATAAGCAATAGCAGAAGCACAGGCAGCAATTACCATAGCACAAATAATAGCGCTTCTGCTATTGTTTCGATAAAGGCATGTTGCCCAAATGTCAACACATCTACGCCTTCATTTTCCTGGTTTTCCTCCGAGGATTGAGACTATTACTACTGCCCACCTATATAAATAATAACTCCCGCAAATGTACTTAACAACTTACGTAATAATGACTGATGGTACGTTTACAGTTCAATGCTTCAGAAAAAGAATTATCTACACAATCATCAAATGCACCCTGACAACCCACAGGCAAAGACATTACACGTACTACACGTGTCAGTATCGTTAAAGCAATTGAAAGAATCAACGAGGGAGCTGTACTTCTTGGTACTTCCTGCTGAACAGCCTGATATCGAATCTGTACTGTATGGGTCACCATTAGCCGCACTTACACCGTTAGCCGTAATAGCCGTTAGCTGTAATAGCCATTAGCTGCAAAAACTTTGCATTACACCGTTCACCTTGATTTACGCCAGGGGGCTATCATTAATATTGCTGTCATTAAATTGTCGGTCATTAACTCGCAGTAAGTGCAAGCCATTCAACCACACTATCGCTGCAGCCGTTCGTATCGCATGCAAGGGGTGCCGGTGGCAAGCAGTCTTTCGGCGCTGCGCCTATTGATTTGACGCATAGTAAAGCAAAAATCTAACAGATTTGTACAGATAAAAACGAAAAACCTAATGCCTGAAAGCTGAGAAGCTGCGTTTGCTGACAGGAAGTCTAATCGGTGATTGGTTCGCTGAAGTAACGCTGCACTTGATTGGCACGCTGACCTGGAACTGACGAGTTGACGAACAGACGTAGCTCTCGCCGTCCGCCAGCTCTTCGATGCGCCGTATCCGTGTGCCGTCCGTACCGAAGATGTAACGCACACCCGACGACAGGTCTGTGGGCAGAAACCCTCGTGCAGAGTCGAGGCTCGGGGACGCAAAACGGCCCAAGTAGCGTCTTTTTCAGGACACGTCTCTTGGGAAGATGGATATGGGTGTCCGTCAATGCACCAGGCAGTTCAACAGGCAGCCAAGGTAAGGCAAATCGCCATCCAAAACTCGAATCAAGCCCAGAGGGAACGTCTCCTGCTGTAGCATTTTTTTGTGCTGGGTAAAGCCCCGTTTGTGTCATATTGTGTACTATGCTGACACAAAAGCAAGAGGCTTCATGTCCCGTGCTGAAAACGTTGGCGTGACATTTCATCGCCAAGTTGACCATGCCGCGTGTAATACAGGCTCCAGTATAATTAGCTGCCTAGGAAAGACTGGCATGTTTGTGAACAGCTCCAAGGTAATTTACAACGCCAATTTTGTTTGGCAGCGGTGCTGGCTAATTTCTCACGCAAACATAACCCAATCTGCACTTGGGACGCAACCCTGCGACGCATATCGCCTTGTCATAGCGCGCCATGCGCTCTCGTCGTGCTCCGCGGGTCAGTCCGTATTCAGGCCGCTCAGCTCCTGCCATCTCGTGGTGGGCATTAGAAGCTTGTTCATGGTCAGGAACGAGGTGCCGAGTACCTCACGATGCTCTATTTCTCTGAACTGTTACATAGGCGTCTTCATGTTAGGCCACACGATCACCTGTATGATGGAGTGACAAGACACGATGCACTAGCAAGATCAATTGCAGAGATTGGCAACACCTCACTGCGGGAGACAATTCGTGATCGGAAGTAAGAAGTCCCCTACAAAACTGTCCCCTAAACCTTTACACTCTTCTTGAACTTCGCACGCTTCATTCATTTCATTCCTACAGAGAATTTGTCATGGCTCGCAGGTCGTACAGTTTCGGAAAAACTTGAACCGTGACATTTACCAGAAACACAATACACCAGGCAAGTATAGGCTTTGGTTTGACGCGCTGGAGGCGCACCGCATCATAAATAAAGGCTGGGTCCTTTCCGACCCAGTATTGCGTGTAGCACACAGTTTGCTTCGACGATGGGAATTTGCAGCAGAAAAATTAAGTTGTTAACATTTTATGACCTATCTGTATGCTGCAAAGCAGAATTGCTAGTCTCTACCCTGACTGTCTGGGGCTTAAAACAAAGAAAATATCCTTTTCAGCTGATTCCGTGGTGTGACAGATAGCTTTGTTTGGTGTACCGAAAGCGTGTCAAATTTCAAATCGGACATGTTTTTTTCACTGGAATTATTCCATGCCGAATAAAAAGTGTTTGTGCCAGGTGCTTGCAAAAACACAAAATGTACGGAAATGTCTGCATTCAGCTTTGCGGCACCACCTATCCGGTACCTCCAGCTCTGATCTTGTCGTCTCCAAGCCGTGCACAAAATTTCCAGAACAAAGCTGACAATATGTAAATATAAACATCAGAAGCTAAGGAGAAACTGTGTTGGTTGGATTAAGTGCTGTTTGTATCTTCTGGTGTCGGAGGTAGGAATTATAAATCTTCGTTTGACTGCCAAAATGTGTGGTGTTACATGACGCTATCGCTCCCAAAGAAGCTGCAATGAGAAATAGTTATTTTCGTTTTTTGGCATATTTTAATAACATCAGCATGGGCTAATTAATCTACTTAACATATATCTAATTATACTCAAAAGGCGATACCTTATCCATCATTACTTGAACCAGTATGATTGCAGGCTATTTGTTACATCAAGTAAGATTCCGTACATCAAAAGCCCAGGCCATTCAAGAGCACCGCATGATGATGGAACTGATCCTGCCAATGAGCTTTGTGAATTATGGTGTGGATATGCAACGAACTACATCAGATTTAATGGTGTGTTCTTCGGCAAATAACACCTCAGTGAGTCCGAGCACCGGAGCAGGTAAATCGGCTAGTGTTACAGAGGCCATACAACTGGCAACTGGTCCAGAGGATTCAGGCACGGCTGGCGATTGCCGTGTCAAGGAGTCGCATGCACCAGGAAAACTGTATGGCTGCATGTCCAAACGAAATTATATGTTGAATTAGATTTTGCTCCACTTGCTTTGTGGGGTTAAAGGTTTTGGGAATTGCTATTTTTAGCACGAGCCATAATGGGTGAAATGCTTATCTAAAGCGTGTTCCGTAAACTGCGCTTTTTGTTAAGATAGAAGAAATCCGGGAAGAGCGGAACAACAAATGCCTCCTGTCTCCCGCCACCTTAGGCAAATATGCTTTACTGAGCAGCCTTAACGATTTTAATGTAAATGTGTAGCGTGGCCCAATGACTTTCCAGAGGCCGAATTTTATCAAGCTAAGGCAAGTATTAGCCAATTTATCTTGAGAAAAGGCATGCATTGCAAAAAAGAGATAAGGTCAGACCCGGGAGAAATTTGATAGGGTGTAGGGAAGGTGGGAGATTGCGAGGAAAGCACAAGATAATAATTATAGTAGACATTTCGATTTACCTACGTACAAGAGTCAATCTGATGTATGGATGCATTTTGTGTGCATAAGAGCACCCCGGCGTATCCAAACACTCTAACTTGGAACTGAATCAGTGCTTCTCAACCTAAAGATGCCTCTGTTGTTGAAAGATGCACTTGCTCTGTGGTAGCTGCATTCCTTCCTGGCGCCTTAGCTTATTTTCGCCAGCTTACCAACGACTTGTGACTCATCGAATCCTCCAGAAAGTTAACTGCACAAACTAGCGTTCCACGAGTGCCGTCAAAACTCTCGCACGAACTTATCTTTGTTCCCAAAAGCATGCAAGTGACACCTCTGCATAAGAGGCGGACTTCCTAATTCGGAGGCAAATCCTGAATATTTGGGACATGTGACGAAAATTTGGACAGTGCATGGGGTAACATGAATCACGCTGAATAACGCTAAGACCACGTCACGCCTACTCGATCAGGGAGAGAGTATGACACAATTCTTGATTCAAAGAAACAAGCACAGCACACAGCAAGCACCAGAATACAGTACCTCGCTGATAGGTTCTGTTTCCCGGGCGAGCCTCGTTCCACTCCCTTGGACCACTCCGACGACAGTTACTGGTCTGGTTACCCCTCCCCACGACGGGAGCTTGGCCACATGGCCATCGATTGACACATACGACGGTGCGTCCCGTTTCCATGGTTACGTCAAAGCTGTTTACTTCTCGCCCACTGTCTCGGCCTTGGCCTTATCAGTTGTGCATCGGAGATTCCAGGCAACCGATGTCCCTAGTATGCTCTACAAGGGGAGATACCAAGCGATTAAACGGTTACAATTTCAAAGGTTTTTACACCCTGTTAAACATTTTAAGAACCGCCAGAGAACTCTTAAATACTATCCATGTCTGGAATGTGACACGAGTGACAATATCCATGTCACTATGCCTCAAGTTATCGATAAAATTGCTGGAGAGATGCGAATTAAAATAATTGAAGCACATCAGGGTCTCCTGTAAGGACTCAGGGGGGGGGGGGGCTTGCCTGGGGAGGGACTGGATGCATCTCAGGATCCACCAACAGACGCAACACTTGTTTGATTTAGGAATTATAAATCATAAGGCACTCACTAATCCATTGTTGAAGTGTTTTTGACAAAAGACCGAAATAAATCGGTTCAAACAGGCAGAATCTGCTCCTACCACCCAGTGGCACAATTCTGCCCCGCCTGGGGGGGGGGGGGGGGACTTTGCTGGTGGCTCAGTTCTTCTTCAGTCAGCGTGGTGAAGGAAGGCAATTCGTAGGCGTTCAGTTATCATTGCATTGTACGTTCAGTTATCATCGGACCACGTATACAATGTATAGCATCAGCAACATCCATCATTTATGCCGGTCGATTAGCAATTGCCTGCAGCAGAACCATCCTTGCATGATGGCTTTGAAAAAACGCATCATGTCATTGCATCTGCTCACACTGGATATTTCAAATCGATGACTTATCACAGATCAAGAACAAATATGTATAGGCCGACTCATATCAGGTGTTTCCAATTTAAAAGGTGCCGTACGGTCGTTCTCTTCACATGCTCGCGTAAGTGTTAGAAACTGACAGACTACAGCCCTGTCAGACCGACCGAGCATGATCCAAAGATTTTGCACGACCGGCACCGGCGTTTGTGTGACGTCACGTGGAAGCTTTGCTGCCATGTTTCCGGCGAGCCGACGAAACGAGCAACGTGATAGGCGACGTAATAGTGCGACGTCACTCCGCGTCGGCGGAATTTACACCGGCATTAACGGCGCATTGTGATTGTGCCGACTCATATTTGGCCTCCGGCACGTACCAAGGAGTATCAAACTCTAGGAAGTTTCGATCAACAACAGCGCCTTCCCAAATGTATGCTCCAGTCAGCCGAGCACGTTTTGCAAAGTGCTCGCGATCACCGTTATTGCACCAACCATTCAACACACTCCATGCATTGCCACACCATAGAAGCATTTGCTCATCGCCAACACCATAAGTGATACTTTGGCAATGCAAACGGTGCTGATTACGTGAGTATACCTGCTGGCAGCGTACTTGTTTTCGTATGCTTCGACATCAATATCTGGGTATAAGGCCCATGCACCAGGGATGTCGTAACTCTTATTGCCACGATCGCACACAGAGCTGTGATCGTAATGAAGCCATGATACTTATATGACATATGTCCGAAAGGTAAATGTTCCCGCGGAAACACCCGCACGCAAATGTTTGCAAGTGCAGATGTTCGCAACAACGGTTCGTACACGCTAGTGCTTGTATATGCAAATGTGCGTTTCACATACGTTAAATTTGTGATGTCCGTTAAGTTGGCGATTCATCGAGCGATTTATTCAGCGACGAGTTCCAGTTTCTCTAAAAAAAAGGGCCTCAAGGTGAATTACGGCACGAGAACATTGAAAATGACCTTTATTTTGCAATATCATGTGACCTACGAGGTCAAAAGCTTAGTCAAAGGACGGGGAACTCGATATTACCCAAAAATTACCGACCGATTTGCAAACTGTAAGCATCAAATTACT